GGGTTTATCAATCTTATTAATTCTTTCAAAGAACCAGCTCCTAGTTTCTTGATTTGTTCTATTGTTTTTTTGGTTTCTATTTCATTGATTTCTGCTCTGATCTTTATGATTTCTCTTCTCCTGCTGGGTTTAGGGTTTCTTTCTTGTTCTTTCTCCAGCTCCTTTAGGTGTAGGGTTAGGTTGTATACCTGAGACCTTTCTTGTTTCTTGAGAAAGGCTTGTACCGCTATATATTTTCCTCTCAGGACTGCCTTTGTTGTGTCCCACAGATTTTGAACCGTTGTATTTTCATTATCATTTGATTCCATGAATTTTTTCAATTCTTGTTTAATTTCCTGGTTGACCCATTCATTCTTTAGAAGGATGCTGTTTAGTCTCCATGTATTTGGGTTCTTTCCAAATTTCCTCTTGTGATTGAGTTCTAGCTTCATAGCATTGTGGTCTGAAAATATGCAGGGAATGATCCCAATCTTTTGATACCGGTTAAGACCTGACTTAGGACCGAGGATGTGATCTATTCTGGAGAATGTTCCATGTGTACTAGAGAAGAATGTGTATTCTGTTGCTTTGGGATGAAATGTTCTGAATATATCTGTGATATCCATCTGGGCCAGTGTGTCATTTAAGGCCTTTATTTCCTTGTTGATCTTTTGCTTGGATGATCTGTCCATTTCAGTGAGGGGAGTGTTAAAGTCCCCTACTATGATTGTATTATTGTTGATGTGTTTCTTTGATTTTGTTATTAATTGGTTTATATAGTTGGCTGCTCCCACGTAAGGGGCATAGATATTTAAAATTGTTAGATCTTCTTGTTGGACAGATCCTTTGAGTATGATATAGTGTCCTTGCTCATCTCTTATTATAGTCTTTGGCTTAAAATCTAATTGATCTGATATAAGGATTGCCACTCCTGCTTTCTTCTGATGTCCATTAGCATGGTAAATTCTTTTCCACCCCCTCACTTTAAATCTGGAGGTGTCTTCGGGTTTAAAATGAGTTTCTTATAGGCAACATATAGATGGGTTTTGTTTTTTTATCCATTCTGATACCCTGTGTCTTTTGATTGGGGCATTTAGCCCATTAACATTCAGGGTAATTATTGAGAGATATGAATTTAGTGCCATTGTATTGCCTGTAAGGTGACTGTTACTGTATATTGTTTCTGTTCCTGTCTGATCTACTAGTTTTAGGGTCTCTCTTTGCTTAGAGGACCCCTTTCAATATTTCCTGTAGAGCTGGTTTGGTGTTTGCAAATTCTTTCAGTTTTTGTTTGTCCTGGAAGCTTTTAATCTCTCCTTCTATTTTCAATGATAGCCTAGCTGGATATAATATTCTTGGCTGCATGTTTTTCTCATTTAGTACTCTGAATATATCATGCCAGCTCTTTCTGGCCTGCCAGGTCTCTGTGGATAAGTCTGCTGCCAATCTAATATTTTTACCATTGTATGTTACAGACTTCTTTTCCCGGGCTGCTTTCAGGATTTTCTCTTTGTCACTAAGACTTGTAAATTTGACTATTAGGTGATGGGGTGTGGACCTATTCTTATTGATTTTGAGGGGGGTTCTCTGAACCTCTTGGATTTTGATGCTTGTTTCCTTTGCCATATTGGGGAAATTCTCTCCAATAATTCTCTCCAATATACCTTCTGCTCCCCTCTTTCTTCTTCTTCTGGAATCCCAATTATTCTAATGTTGTTTCGTCTTATGGTGTCACTTATCTCTCGAATTCTCCCCTCATGGTCCAGTAGCTGTTTGTCCCTCTTTTGCTCAGCTTCTTTATTCTCTGTCATTTGGTCTTCTATGTCGCTAATTCTTTCTTCTGCCTCATTTATCCTAGCAGTGAGAGCCTCCATTTTTGATTGCACTTCATTAATAGCTTTTTTTATTTCAACTTGATTAGATTTTAGTTCTTTTATTTCTCCAGAAAGGGCTTTTATATCTCCCGAGAGGGTTTCTCTAATATCTTCCATGCCTTTTTCGAGCCCGGCTAGAACCTTGAGAATCGTCATTCTGAACTCTAGATCTGACATATTACCAATGTCTGTATTGATTAGGTCCCTAGCCTTTGGTACTGCCTCTTGTTCTTTTTTTTGTGGTGAATTTTTCCGCCTTGTCATTTTGTCCAGGTAAGAGTATATGAAGGAACAAGTAAAATACTAAAAGGGTGGCAACAACCCCAGGAAAATATGCTTTAGCCAAATCAGAAGAGATCCCAAATCGTGAGGGGGGGAAGGGGATATAAAGAGGTTCAGAAAGAAAAAAAGAAAAAAAAAAAAAAGAAAGAAAAAATAAAAAAGAAACAAAAAAAGAAAACCAATAATGAAAAAATATAAAAAGGAAAAAAAATATATATATATTAGATAAACTAGTTAAAAAACATTAAAAAAGAAAAGGGTAAAAGTTAAAAAAATTTAGCAGAAGAGAAAAAAAATTGAAAAATAAAAAAAATTAAATTAACTGCAAGGCTAAAGAATCATGGGGAGAAAGCCATGAGTTCCGTGCTTTGCTTTCTCCTCCTCTGCAATTCCGCTGCTCTCCTTGGTATTGAAACTGCACTCCTTGGTAGGTGAACTTGGTCCCGGCTGGGTTTCTTGTTGATCTTCTGGGGGAGGGGCCTGTTGTAGTGACTCTCAAGTGTCTTTGCCCCAGGCGGAGTTGCACCGCCCTTACCAGGGCCCGGGCTGAGTAATCCGCTCGGGTTTGCTTTCGGGAGCTTTTGTTCCCTGAGCGCTTTCCGTAGAGTTCCGGAGGACGGGAATGAAGATGGCGGCCTCCCAGTCTCCGGCCCGGAGGAGCCGAGAGCTCGGGGCCCCACTCCTCAGTGCGCCCTCAGAGAACAGCGCCCAATTACTCCCGTCACCCTGGCCACCAGCCGCGCTCCGAGCTGACCGAGCCTGCGACCGGTTCAAGGTAACCCCGAGCTGAGAGCTCACTCCTCGGCTCTGTCTCTGTAGCCGGCTTCCCCGTTCTAATACCTGCAAGCTCTGCGACACTCAGACACCCCGATCCTTCTGTGACCCTGCGGGACCTGAGGCCACACTGGCCCCGCGTGCGCTTCACCCCGGTTAAGCCTCTGGAGCGATGTCCCTCAGCGGAACAGACTTTTAAAAGTCCCGATTTTGTGCTCCGTTGCTCCGCCGCTTGCCGGGAGCCGGCCCCTCCCCCCGCGGTCTATCTTCCCGTCGCTTTGGATTCACTTCTCCGCCAGTCCTACCTTTCAGAAAGTGGTTGATTTTCTGTTTCTAGAATTGCTGTTCTTCTTCTCTTCGATCTCCCGTTGGATTTGTAGGTGTTTGCAATCTTTAGATAAGCTATGTAGCTGATCTCCCGCAACCTGAAGTCGTCTCAGCCTGCTACTTCTCCGCCATCTTGACTCCTCCCCTTTCCTCTGTTTTTATAAAGACATCAGTCCATTGCATTTTGGGCTTTCCTGAACCTAGTATGACCTCGACTTGACTGTGTCTGCAAAATCCCTATCTCCAAATAAGTTCACATTCACAGGTATCAGGGGTTGGAACTTAAACATACTGGTTGGGTGTTGGGAGCACAAAATTCAACCCATTACAGCAAACAAAGCAGAAAAAAAAAAAAAAAGAAAGAAAGAAAGAAAGAAAGAGAGAGAAAGAAAGAAAAAGAAAGAAAATAAGGCGCAAGAAGAAAGGGTAAAGCAAACAAATGTAGAAAATTTGATGCTAGTACTTATTAGGGGGAAATAGGTAAATAGCCTCAAAGAAATCACTGTCTTTACCCACCACTACAACAGACCAACACCTTACATGTGGCTGAGTTACAGACCTGCAAAAATATCTTTGGACCATGAGTGAAAAACAAGATGACTTCAACAAGCAGTAGAAGCAGACTTCAATATAGGTGGCAGCAAAATGCTGTGAGAATCCTGGCAGAATTATTTGACACAACCCTGTAAATGGCATCCCCCCTTTGTCAAGCCTGATAAGTTGTGACTTATTGAGACACATTCCATGGGCCCTGCATTGGATGCAGGGTGTCTTGGATGACATCGTAAACCCAAAAAAGGTGATGACAATCTAAGGCCAGCATATGCCCTGCGTTCTGGATGACCCCAGCGATAGTGATGTGTTGTGCAACATGTTAAGCAAATTTCATGGTCTAAGCCATTGTCCACGCAAAGCCTGACTGTGTCTATAAATAGCATTTTCCTATCTGGGCAGTTTTGAACCAAATGAAGAAAGCATGATAGTCTTTTGCCTGAAAGAGCCAAAAAGGATTAAAAAAAAAAAATGATGGCTTTACTTTATCATTGATTTAATATATGACTTGGGAAGTCCTCATCATCTCACATCCCCATGTCCAGTTTTCTCCTTCTGCAAAGCAATATTCAGTTTCCACTGTATTGATTCAAGTAAATATGTTCACACAATAGCAAAATGCAGCTCGCTGTAGCAAAACTCTCGGCGGGAGAATGTTGTACCCTTTGGTCACAGTTACGATTTAATTTAGGGGTTTATCAGTCTTCCAATGAGATTATGGGAGGGAAGGATAGGTGTAGGAAGAAAATGGTGATGAGGGATTCTGATATTTGAAAATGGATGAGTTTCCCAAAAGAAGAGCATAAAACTGTCTGGATCAAATTCAGATAGAACGCTGGCCTGTTGCCAGGTTTGTAATTGCATCTTGAATTGAGCTGTAATCCTTACCACTTCCGAAAACAGTAAGAGTGAGAAAACGATAAACCACATTTGTTTTAAATAGCGGTTATTTGCTTTAGCATTCCTAATAAAATATTTTCCCTGACACTGTGGTGAAGGCTCCAGAGCTACAAAGATAGTGGCATGTTTTTTGTGGAGGGAGGAAAAAGAAGATAATTCTCTTCTGTAGGGGGAAACAGAATATTGTGCATTTTGGGCATACTGTATTTTGTAAGGGAAAAGCAATGTGTGTGTGTGTGTGTGTGTGTGTGTGTGTGTGTGTTTTCCTTAAAAGAGAAATTTGTAATGACTTTTTGAAAAATGACCTTTCAGGTTTACGACGTACGAGTATAAGGTGTTTGTACACAACAGCATGGGTTTTACACCGAGCCAAGGAGCTACCGTGACAACATTAGCTGGTCTTCCAAAGAGGGGCACCAACCTCACTGCAACTGTTCTTAACCACACTGCCATAGATGTGACATGGGCTAAACCAAGTAAGTCAGCTTCTCATGTCTTTAGTTCCCCTTAGCATATTATACCAACATGAATTTAAATTGGACGCATTAAAAAATAAAAACAACAAAAAGCTGAGATGCTTGTGCTACTCTTCAGAGCCAGACTCTCTCTCCCTACTTTGACATCCTTCTTGGGCCTTCTCGTCCTCTTCCATTCCTTTTGGTTGGGAAAGTAATTTCTGTCACACCAACCAGTTGTGATTTAAATGTCCATGTATTAATTTGCTAGAATGCAATACTGTGCACTTTCCCACAGAAAGCTCTGCCCCCGCCCCCATCTTGTAACTCAGTACTTATTAGCAAGAACCATTGACAGGATTGCAGTCATATGAGGGATTTTTCCGAGTGAATCATATTCAGCGCTGGTTGTAGATAGAATTCCAACTTCACAAGGAAAATGGAACCTGGACATCACCACTGGGCTTGCTTCAATAATGCAGGGGCCTCGCCCTGACCCTATTCAGATCCCACCTTTATGGACAGTTAGAAGAGCTTATAGATGGATCTAATCCGCTCCTGAAACTTTAGAAACACAAAAACTGATATTTCAGATCTTGTTGGTCCGCAGAATAGCATTTAACAGCAGACCTTTTACTTTGTAGTCATCCGTTATCACCATTAGAAAACAACAATGAATTTATCATGGAAATAGGTGTTGTAACCATTCTTAGAAGTACCACTTGAGATCTGGCAAATAGTTGAATCAAAACTTGCTAGAATAGTACCACATATCGAGAAACATCTGATTCACAAATCCCCAAGTGAAATGTTTGTCTCATGAAAGAGAACTGTACCTGCTAGGGTAGCCATCTATGGTTAGAGTCTGCATAGCTGTAAAACTACTCTTGGCCGGGGATGACTAGGGAATAGTAATCACGTGATTTTCATTCAGCCTTTGAGTTTTGTGCCAGCCTAAGACATGCTTCCTGTTCCATTTAGAACATCTGAGTGGATTTGCCTCCATGTTATATTTTATCAGTTGTGAATCACAACCAGGATTAGGTGACATTAACGGTAAATTAAAATCTGTACCTGCTCTGTTGATCTACGTTGCCACTAAATAACCCATTTTTACAGAAGGCTATCACCCTAGGGTTTTTATAAAGTTGCTGGTTTCTAATAATCTGTGTCACCTCTGTTGGGATCTCTTAAGCCATTTAAATGGAAGAATGGAAATTAATTGATGCTTATGATTACCCTCTGAGACACCTCTGGGAAAAATACAAAATTTTTATCTGGAGATGGATTTTTATGTCTGATATATTTGCATTCATCTCCCTCTTCCTCTCTACTTTACCCTCACCACCTGACTCATCTTAAAAGCCTGCTCATAAAGGTGGATGTCCTCCCCCTCATCTGACATTTGAATACTGCTGTTAAGATCCAGCTGCTGAATTTTTGCCAGTATAGGTCCTTTATGTTATAATTGCATGCCTGAAGTAAGCGTGCTTATAAAAACTGACAAACCTAATAGATCTGCAGCAGCTCGCTGAAGTTTCATTACCTTGGTAATCTGAACCTCTGACCTTCGGGATGTAGGTAATGCAATCTGCTGTTATTTCCATTCATACCTTAGAAATATTTCAGATAACTATTTGTGAGCACAAAGGTTAACTCTCAGAAGAGGGTCAGCTCTCCCAAAGCTTGTTGCATTATCATTTTCTTCCTTCGAGCAACCTGCTAGCCTAAGTAAATTAACTAGTCACTCCTCCGTGATAGGGCCACCTCTTTTCTGCAATTTTAATTTAAGTTGTTTCCTTGGTTTCCTGGATACGTTTGGCACGTTGTTGAATATGCTAAAAGGCACAAAACTATAGGATGAAAATCAATTGGATATATTTATAAATATTTACTTATTAAAGATTGCCGTTCAAAAAAACATAAAAATGTATTTTTAAAAAACCCTATTCTGTCTTAACTGTGACCTCCCCATGGATCCACCATTTTGATAGCTGTGTATTTCTGGCAAATTTTTACTAACCACAGATTAACAGGAATGTTACTGAGCATTTTAGAAGGACTCATTTTGAATGTTTGCTTCACTGTTTGGTCTCACGTGAGGTAAAAACATCCCCCACATTCTTTCAGTTCCTTTTTAGGGTTCGTCTAGCAAACTGGCAGCACACAGACCACATTTACTTCCCCATCCCCCCTACACTGTTTCGCCTATAGTATTTTTCTTAAATACTATTTTTCCAACATTTAAAAATTAGAAGATTTTGCATAAAGATGATGATTTGGGGATTGATTTGAAACATCAAATGATTGGGTGAAATTTTTTTCACACTCCAGTTCTCCTGTGGGTGATTCCATCTATTTTTACTGTTTCAAATTCTCCTAACTAGGAAAATTACAAATTCTTATGAAGCCTTATGAAGGGATGATTTTAAAAAATAAACTTCGGAATCAGGGAAACTTGAATTTGGATCCCAGTCCCAGTGTTTTCTTAGCGCTAGGACTAAAGCAAGCCACTTAACCTCACTGAATCCTGGTTTCCTCATCCAATATCTTTAAAATGTTGTGATAGGGATGAAATGAGATAATATATGTTTAGAACTTAATAATCATTTAGTATCAGTATAAAGTATTACTGTGTCTCTACAATGTTGACAGTGTTGTCAATAGCAATTTTACAAAAGAAAAAAAATTGGAAAGCCATTTCTAATAAAAATTTGGTCATGGCATTCAGATAAAAGCTTTTCTCTGGTGAGTTGAAGATAGACAAAGAGGAGATGTAGCTTTATAATGATCTAACTTGACTGAAAGGTAGAACCACCAACCATTGCATAGTATCATTTCCTACCCCCTCCCCCTTGAAGGTGGTGTTTCCATGCCCATCAACCTAGACACTGGACACACTTACCAGCCTTGGAGTTAGTCATGGCCTTGTGCCTATGTTTGTACCAATAAAATGTGAAAAGAGATGATGTATGTCTTTTGGTGTCATAAGCACAAAACATTAGCTTTGTCCCTTTCTGTTCTCTCTTCATAATTTCCCTGGATGGAACGTAGACATGGCAGTTTTCTCAGTTTCAACTCTGCAGACATGGACGAAACCTAAAAGAGCCAAACCACATAAGAAAAGGAACCTGGGCTGTTGAAATAGAGCACCATCCGATTCACTCATTTGGGGGCTATTATGTGAGATATAAATTAACATCTGTTTTATTTAAGTCAACTTTTATCAGTGCCTCTTGGTTACCACAGTTCAGTTAACTCTCTCAGCCCCTGTTTGCCCGTATGAATTCACTTAAGGAGCAGAATTATCTATCCTGTTTCTATTGCTTAATATAGCATGATGAGTAATTAACATATCTCATATACAGTTTCCTTTAAATACAATTTTCTCTGGCAGGCTATTGATAGGAGTTGGAACACAATGAAAGACTAAGTAGCTGGGAAGATTTCCTAAATACAGGTGTTTGTTTCTGACTATGCATAAATTAGATAGAAGGCATGAGAAATCTTTTTGGGAAAGATAAGGAGCCTGGCTTGGATCACTTCTTTATGTAAGCAATTATCTCTTGCAGAGTAAAGAATTTTTTTTTTAAAGATTTTATTTATTCATTTGACAGACAGAGATCACAAGTAGGCAGAGAGGCAGGCAGAGAGGGAGAGGGAAGCAGTCTCCCTCCTGAGCAGAGAGCCTGATGCGGGGCTCAATCCCAGGATCCTGAGATCATGACCTGAGCCGAAGGCAGCAGCTTAACCCACTGAGCCATCCAGGTGGCCTGAGTAAAGAATTTTTTAAGGAAGTAATTTGATGTAAAAAAAAAAAATTTTTTTTTAACTCTACCCTCAACGTAGGACTCGAATTCACAACCCAAAGATCAAGAGTCTCATGCTATACTGACTGAGCCAGCCAGGTGCCCCACAAGAAGTAGTTTTGGTTCCTCACATTTTTCTAAGAAGTATTTGGTTAATAACACAAAGCTCTGCATGTTGAACTTGGGAAATTGAACACTGATTTGAGAATCTATGAGCAAGATACACTTCTATTATAAAATAACCTTAATGGGATCCTTCCAAGTTTTTACATTTGAACAAAATTACCTCCTCCCAAGGAGCCTGCTAATGAGAGATGCGGCTAAAGAAGTCAATCCTAGACAAATCTGGACACCTATTGAATGGAATGGTTTGCTGTAATTGCTCTAGATCAGGCCACAGATGTTTTTGTAAAAAGCCAGATAGTAAATACTTCAGGTTTGGGTGCTATGTATAGTCTATGTGGCACCTGCTTAACTTTGCCATTGGACCACAAACACAGCAATAGATGACACCTACACAAGCATAGCTGTGTTCCAGGAACAGTTTATTACGGATGCTGAGATAGAATTTTCATATAATTTTCACATGTCACAAAATACTATTCTTTTGATCTTTTTTCCCTAGCCATTTAAAAAATGTAAAAACCATGCTTAGCTTGCAGATTATTATAACCAGGTGGCAGGTCACATTTGACCTAGAGGCCAGATTTTGCCCATGGACCATCATTGGCTGACCCTAATGTAGATGCTAAAAATCTAGAGGATGTAATTGATATTAATAGTAATCTGTAGGGGCGCCTCTGTCACTCACTTGGTTAAGTGTCTGCCTCTGGCTTAGGTCATGACCCCATGGTCCTGGGATCGAGCCCCATGTTGGGCTCCTTGCTCAGTGGGAAGAACTTCCCCCCCTGCCTGCTGCTCCCCCTGCTTGTGTGTTCCCTCTCTCTGTCAAATAATGTCAAATAAATAAATAAATAAAATCTTTAATAGTAATCTCTAAAAATAATCCAATAGTGTGTGAGGAGCATTACCTAAGTGCTTTAGCAATAGGACTTTCAGCTAGCGCACCTAACAACTGTTTTAAATTACTTGGGAATCTATTACAAAGGAGAGGAAACTCTTGTATATTTGAGAACTGTTACAGCTAAGATCACATTTCTGACCAATATATAGAGATTACCACCCAAAATGTCATTTAATAGCAAAAATTAT